TCTTTCCCTCCTCTTCTCTCTTTTCTTTCTCTTATTTTCTCTCTTCCACTTTTTTCTTTCACTTTTTCTCTCATCTCACTTTTTTCTCTCCTCTTTCACTTTCTCCTCTCCTCTCCTCTCCTCTCCCTCTCCTTCTCCCTGTCCCTCTCCCCCTCCCCCTCCCTCTCTCTCCCTCACCTCATCTATTTTACAGAGTGGACAATATATAGTCTCACAGCACTGCTCATCCTAAGTGTTACAGCCATAATAGCAAAGATATTTCTCCACATAACCATGAGGTGAGTATGGAGCAAAACTGTCCCTGGAGGACTGACATCTCAGCTCTGTACCAAACCTGGTACACTTTATTTCTTTGCCTTCTGACACTGTCAGATTGGTCATATTCAAAACCAAGTTATATATATTACGTATTTGTATCATCATAAAAGATACTAAATAAGCACATTTTTTAACTTTCCAGTCTGTTAGGACAGCATATACTGCTAGAATGTCTCTTTTGCTCTTGTTTTGACAAGATTTGTATTTTAAGGAATAAAAAGGTTTCTCATACTGAGTGATGCTATATAGCAAAGAGGAAAATGTAATCAGACATCTAGTATTGGTGGGAAGAGGTCAAATTATGATAATACTTTGCAGGAAAAAATTTAAAACCTCATCCCAGATCTGGGAACTGGGAAAAAAAGTTAGATATAGGCTAGTTAATACTTTCTTTTACTGAAATATTGAAAATGGTTCAAAAAGGAATAACAAAAATGAAAATCTGTATTATGGTGTGACACTTAACCAGTATAATTTTTTTTGCCTATTAAAAACAACATAATTTTATTACTATATTTCTCTACACTTATACCAAGTAATTTTTGAGTCCTTTAGATGGACACTCATTGAACGAAATGATGGGTGAGTTATCAACAAATCATAAATGTTGACTATTGTATTTACATACCACAAACAGGCTTAAATATACAAGGAAATTTATTTATATTAATAGCAATTTGTAATAGAGTATGTACAGCCGCCTTAGCTTAATGTCGCTGCTTTCGTTAGCGTAGCAACTATTCTAGCAACAGAATGCCTAACTTTTCATTTGGTCAAGAAACAACCAACAAACACTCCAAAAACCTACATAACTGTGCAGCAGGTAGAAAGAAAAGGTGTCACAGATGTAGTGGAAGCTGCTAGCATTACCAGTGTAGCAGTAATGCAGACATACTAACAATAAGCAGCTTCCCAAGCACCTTAACACTTGAAGTGAATTAACACTTGTTTCCTAGATCTCATCAGATACCATCTGCAACTGAAACAGAAGATTCCAGTGAGGTTACTACTGCTAGCGAGATCTGGACTATATTTTACCAGCCATCCACATCCATATCAATCTTCAAGAAAAAGCTTCGAAGTCAACAAGATGATTGCAACCCACTAGTGGGAAACTGAAGTGTCTTTTATTTTACAAGAATCAATCTTCTTAAAATCCAGGTGACTTGGGAATAATCTTTTTTTTTTTCTCCCAATCTCATACTTGTTTTCCAAAAAGTCCATTTCCAAAGGCCTTTGAGTGACTTTGCCTATCTGCTGTTCTCTTGGGTATACTAATGACAACAGATTTAATTGCGGCAATAGTTTTGAAATCTCTGGTGCTCATCAAATTTGTAGTGCTGTTAATTACTGCCTTTAAACCAATGCACTTAAATACATGTAAAAACCTGTAAAATTCAAAATGTCCTGTACCCCTGCCAAAAGTAGGGGTATGAATGAGTATCTGCAGGTTGAGGACTTCTTGCATCCTACTTTCCTGTACCACTGTATTATATCAGGCTACTTTAGTCCCTTTATTCTTAAGGTTGAAGACAGAGGTAGATACTGATAACCTGTTCAGCTGCCACAGCAACCAGAGCTTATTGGCCTTAATGTAAACATGTCTAAATGGTACTATACCGTAAAATGGGAGTCAAAGACTTTGAGAAACTATCAGCCTGGTTGCCTAGTGCTCTGCGGTTTCTACATTTTCTGTTTCTACAAGCAGAGATGTACAAATAAAAATCAAATCGAATTCAGGAGGCAAACACTCTGGAGTTTCAGCTGCAAATGTGAGTTTCGATGGAGTAATGCTCACCAGGTCAAGGTCTGCAAGAGCAATGAAGACTTTTAAACGACTATGTCTGACCCATCATTCACTGATGATTATGATAATTTTGTTCATATTCACAGTGATCTTTTGAAAAACTATTGTACTCCAGTCTGGAGTCCTGCATTCATTCTGGATGTAAGCTTAGGGCTTCTTAAAGGATTGTCCAGAGAAATTGTAAATCCACTGAATTTTTACATAGTGAGGCTGACTAACACAAATTCTTACTCTGGAGTTAAAGATACTGATCTCAGCAGCCTAAACTATTTACAAAGTTGTAGCCTGCTATCAACAACTCACCTATGCCAGGCTGTGCATCTGAACACATATGTAACAGTTGCCTTGATACTTACCTGTGAGAAGAAAAAGTGTCTCCTTGCCTGCAAAATTGACACTGAACTCCATTTTTAAGATTAATGCCCTTAATTGTCAAAGAACTAAAACACTAGTGGGGATCTGATCTGTGAAATAATTTCTCTTCAAATGCAACAGACAGCATTAACTATATTTTCTCTTTGGTAGAATATCTGTCCACCCACAATGCTCAGACTTCTCATACCACCAACGGGGATCAACAGCGAGTCTTTCAAACTCAGCAAGTCCAGACCAGCAAGATATTTAGGAAAAACTGACAAAACAGAAGTCGGATAAATTGACTGGAAAAGCTTACTGAGTGAGCAGCTCCTCAAACTAAGTTAGAGGAAATTCAGTGAGAGCCATTAAAGTACAGTAATTCTGGTTAAGACAAAAGGAAAAAATATCAGTTAAAACATATAGCAATGGTCTGTGTATACCAGACCTGCAGTCAGAGAACAACTATTAAATGTATCTGCAAAAGATAACAAAGAAAAGTGAGAAAATACTGTCACTGAGTTTAAATTCAGTATAGTATCTGCCCTTCTGGTTTCAACTCATAATTCCCTCCCCTTCATGAGGTCTATAGATTTCCTTGAAAAAATAGGGCATCTAAGAATTAAACAATGAAATACTGTGCCTTACTTGCCATTGTAGATCTATTCTTTTACCTGAATTGAATTCATTCCAGCTCCATTTATGTGCCACAGATGAGTGCCAGAGACAGCTGAACAATACCACAACAAATGCTTAATAGAAAAAAGACTTTACTAAGCTAGCAATTATGGAATTGTTTATATCAAAAATGGATTATCATGGGAACATCTTGCATGAGCTGCTGGAAAGAATACAGGAAAAGATAATTACAGTATCGCCTAAAATCAAGACAGGACGAGTTGTAAAATATGCTGGTTCTCTCTTATGTGTCATCAAGTTGGACCAAAAAACATTATCTGTTTCAGACCCCCCCAAAAAATTTCAAATTGCCTTTTTAACAGTTAGTTAGT